CGTGCGACGGAGGAGTCGGGTCAGGAGACAGAGGAGGGGACACAGGAGGGGAACGAGGGGGGAGACGGGCCGGGGACGAGTCTGGCGGAGGGAAGACAGGGCCGTAGACAGGAAGAGGAGGAGACGGCCGGGGAGGAACCGACGCAGGGTCGGGGGACGAAAGGCCGAGCAGGCGAAGGGCTGACACCGGCGGGGACTGCTGTTGCGGCGGCACAACGGCGACACCGGGACCGCAAGCTGCTCCTCGGCTACCACCGGCACTCGCCACACCAGCACCCCCAGAGGGACCACCCCCAGGGCTACCGGGACGAGCACCCCCAGAGTCAGCGAACGGGTGCTGCGACGGCGGCGGCGGCGGCGGCGGCAACGACGGCTGCAGCGGCGGCAGAGGCGGTGGAGGGGGGGACTGGGGAGGGGACGCCAGGGGAGGGGCGGCCGGCGAGGACTGAACAGGAGGGCCACCAGAGGCAGAAGACTTCTCAACCGGGTCCACCAACGGACGGGGGGTGACGTGGGACACACCAGAGGGGGCGGGACGGGGAGGAGGAGGAGGAGGGGCAGGGACTACCGGGGAAGGAGTGACCAAGAACAGGGGGGGGGTAACCGGGGGACCACGGTAGGGGAAGCGACGGTAGTAGGAGACGGACTCGTCAAAGGTGACGTCACGAGAGTGAAAGAAGCGGTGAGACGGCGGGTGGTAAAAGTGCCAGTCGGACGCGTCAAGGGGAAAACCGAGGAAGACGCAGGGAAGGGTGCGGGCAGTGAGCTTGTCCGTGCCGGAGGCACGGACGTGAGCAAGGCAGCCGCAGACGTGGAACGCAGACGCGTCACCAGGAGACCCAGTCCAAAGACGAGTCGGCGAAACCTGCGGCTGCTGAGGGTGCGGCCACAAGTTAAGCTGCTGAGCAGCATAGCGCACGGCGAACGGCCACAGAAAATGGGGTGCACCGGCATGAATCATGGAGGTGCGAGCCACCTCCATTACCAAACCGATGCGTCGCTCAGCGACCCCATTCTGCTGTGGGGAGTCCGGTAGGGTGAACGTCTGGGTGATGCCCTCCGCACGACAAAAGCGACCAAGGACACCTGAGGCAAACTCGCCACCACGGTCGGAGTGAAGACGCAAGACAGGGAGACCGCGGTGGACACGCGCAGAGACAAGCTTGGGGATGAGAGCGCCAGGCACGTCGGCCTTGCGCTCCAGGGGAAAGACTGTGGTGTAACGAGTGAAGTCGTCGACAAGCACAAGGAAGTAGCGCTCTCGACGCGGCCCAGGGACGGGGGCGGGGCCCCAGACGTCCAGGTGCAGGGTCTGCAGCGACGCGGCGGTAGGGGGAAACGAGGAGGAGTGCGGGGCACAGCGAAGCAGACCCTCAACACAAGGCGTGCAAGGCAGGGCTGGGGAGGAGGGAAACGCAGGGAGGGAACCTGGGAGACCAAGGACAAGACAGTGCTGGGACATGTGACGCAGACGCGGGAGCGCAGGGTGACCTAGGCGGTGGTGCCAAAGGAGAGTCGGGTGAGTGAGGGACCGACAGGAGCAGGCAGCAGCAACCTGGGTAGACGCAGCCACCTGAGGAGGCGCCTCAGCCAGGGGGGTCACGGTGTCCAGAGTGAACAGGCCGGACACCGGGTCCCGGGGGAACGTGGACAGGGGGGCACCAGTGGCGGCCTCGGTACAGACAGCATACCGCTCGTGACCAGGGAACGTAGTGGTGACGCCAAGGTCCTGGAGGCAGCCGACACCAACTAGGTTCCTGGAGAACGAGGGGATATGCAGACCTGTGAGAGAGCCCGAAGGAACCGCCGGACAGGGAAGGGTGGTGGAACTGCGGGCGACGATCGGACCGCCGGAGGGGTCAGCAAGAGAGACGGCAGCTGGGACAGGAAGTGGCGTCAGGGTGGTGGAGTCGCGGAAGAAACACCGAGAAGCGCCAGAGTCCAAGGTGAAGGAAAGCGAAGCAGAGGCGTCTGGCGACGGAACGCCGGCGGAAGCACCAAGACTACACAAAGCAGGGGATCCTACGCCTGACGCAGCAGGGGAGGCTAAGCTAGGCACACCTACACTAGGCAACAGTGAGTAATAGGCGGGAAGCACACTAGAGTCATCAGCATACATCACATACAGAGCAGAAACAATGGCATCCATGTCCATATCAAAAATCTGAATCTTACGACTAAGCAAACTGTGCCAGTCCGGGAGGTCTGGCGACGGGCCGAAGCGCTGACGAAAGAGGTCGTCCAGGCGACGAAAACAGCGGGGAGTGGAGTGACCGATCTTACCGCAGACGAAGCCGCGGCGAGGACCGGTCTGGATCTGGTACTGACAACGCCCGCCGCCAGAGCCACCACTCGGCACACCACCACGCGCCCGACCACCGCCTGCGCCGGGCCACCCGGGCGGGAGGACACTCGTCTGCCGCGGCTGCGACGGCTGCTGCGGCTGCTGCGAAGGCTGCGACTGCGGCGGCTGCTGCGGCTGCTGCAACTGCAGGGGCGGCGGCTCAGCTGGACTGGGCAGGGTCCCCTCGTCCGCTCCAGCACCAGACGACCCGACACCACCACTACCCCCTCCTGCACCCCCGCCGCCGCCGCCGCCGCGCCCAGCCTTGGGGCGGCGGCCCTTCCCCGAACGAAACTGTGCTGCAGCAGCAGTCTCAGCCACTGCGGCAGAGCCGTCGGAGAAGGTACACTGGGCGGGGGCACAACCCTGGAAGATAGGGACCGGCACGACACCGCTCGCCTGGGCGATGGAGCGGTGACGGGTCTCTATCACAGTCAGGGTGTCTACAAAGTCAGTGAGGGTGAGGTCTGCGGGGTGGATGCTAAGGAAGCGGTCGCGGGCGACAGCAAGGCGGTCAGGGAGGCGGGTGGCAAGCAGGTAAAGGGTAGAGGTAATGGGCGGCTGGTGGGCTCGAAGCTGTGCATCAGTGCAGGCTGCGCGCCAGGTCTCATCTATCGAGCGCAGGTGGGCAGCGAGGTCAGAGACAGTGGGGAAAGATGCAAGGTTAGGAAAGAGCATCGGGAGGATCAGGCGACCCACCGAGGCAGCCGGAGGGGTGGAATAGCGCTGGATGACAGCATCTAAGTATGCCTGAGCAGTAGTGATAGACCTAAAGCGAGGGCGCTCGGACGGGGGAAGGGCGTTGCTAATGGCAAGCTGGGCGACAGCATCGCGAGAAAGCCAAACAGAGCGCGCACGGGCAGTGGCAGCAGTGGACTCGCGCTCAGTGGGTGTGGAGTCAGCGGGCAGAATAGCAGGGGGGTCTGGGCAGGGGAGCGTACCGTCAAGGTGTGCGGAAAGCGGTTCACCATCCTGCCGCTGGCCAGTGAGTTGGCGACGGAGGTCGGCAAGCCACGCCTCGAACTCCAGGGGCTGGCCTTCAGCGTCGAAGCGAAGCTCCGCCGCCATCAGGAACAGTGCAGTGCGGTGCAGGGCAGTGCAGCAAGGTGGATTGCGGTGCCGTGCGGTACAGTGCGGCGCAGTGCGGTGCAGTGCGGTGTAGGGCAGTGCAGTGCGGTGCCAGGCAGGACAGGTTGGTGCGGGGCAGTGCAGTGCGGGGCAGTACGGTGCAGGGCAGTGCAGGGCAATGCGGGGGGGGACCGTACCAGTGAGGAGGACCGGGGCCGGGGCAGGGACGAGAGCAGGGGCCGGGCCGGTGCAACGGGGCCGGGTAGGTGCGACGGGGCCGGGCGGGCGCGACGGGGCCGGGCTGGTGCGACGGGGCCGGGCGGGTGCGACGGGGCCGGGCGGGCGCGACGGGGCCGGGCTGGTGCAACGGGGCCGGGCGGGTGCGTCGGGGCCGGGCTGGTGCGACGGGGCCGGGCCGGTGCGACGGGGCCGGGCGAGCAGGACGGTGGCCCAGGAGGGGCGCACCGGGGCTGGGCGGGCGCGACAGGGCCGGACGGGTGCAACGGGGCCGGGCGGCTGCGACGGGGCCGGGCAGGGGGCGACGGGGCCGGGCGGGTGCGACGGGGCCGGGCGGGCGTGACGGGGCCGGGCTGGTGCGACGGGGCCGGGCGGGGGCGACGGGGCCGGAAGGCGTGACGGGGCCCAGGAGGGGCTCGACGCGGCCCAGGAGGGGCGCTACGGGGCCCAGGAGGGGCACGACGAGGCCCAGGAGGGGCGCTACGGGGCCTAGGAGGGGCGCGACGGGGCCCAGGAGGGGCGCTACGAGGCCTGGGAGGGGCGCGACGGGGCACAGGAGGGGCGCTACGGGGCCCAGGGGGGGGCGCGACGGGGCCTGGGAGGGGCGCGACGGGGCCCAAGAAGGGGCGCGACGGGGCTAGGGGGGTCGCGACGGGGCTAGAGGCACGACGGGGCTAGGGGGGGGGGGCGAGCGGAAGCGGTAGGTGGGGGGGGGGGGATCCTACCTACGCGTGATACCATATCAAAATTGAAGAAGAGAATGATGACTAGTGAGAGAGTACAGGAAGATATACCTAAGAATTGTACCCTCTAAGAAGTGACCCTATACAGTCTATACAAACATAACGACTACACATGTTTGACACGCACGTCTTCATTATCATCTAGGGCGCATAGCGCGATAGTGACGAACAGGTACATTAGCGAATGGGTACTTTTTCTAGAACTATAAATCCTTGTTAGGTCTTTTCATTATTAACTTTGATTACTCACAAGTTCACGTACTCAGGTTATTCAATCTTTGACTGTTACCTTTTTATAAAACTTCCGCTGTTTTACTAGTCTATCATTCCAGTAAAGATCCTGGACCAACACTTGAGGATTTCCAAGTGTTCGTATTTACAGTTTTATACTTAGTCTTCTACAACATTTGACAAGTTATTTCAGTCGAAGGGAGGTGGGTGGGAAAGTTTACTATGCTGTTTGAAAAATGAGAGACATGGGTGGAGGGAAATGAGTTCCAGCCCACGTATTTGTAATTGGAGAAGGGCGAGTAGCACGCTTCGACGATGCCCAAAAGCTTCAGTACAACAGCTTCGCTTTCACAATACACAAATTTGAAAACAATGCATGTGTCCAAAAATTATAACATATTTTCCTCCCAGTGTGTTCCGTTATTATAATGAGACATGTGAAACAGCCCACGTTGATCGAGTTAGTCAGCAGGGGCCCAAGACCTCACGTATTTACACAGAGAAAAAGGGGTTATCCCTAGGAAGAACAGGGAGCGATAGACGTATACTCTGGGAGAGCGTGGTGGCGACAGAGAGAGAAAGAGGGGATGACGACGAAGAGAGAGACACAACGAGAGTGACGACGACGAGAGAGGGACAACGAGGATGAGAGAGGGGCGATGAGGAAGAGAGAGAGAAAGAGAGACGATGACGCAGAACAGGGAGGGCCGACGCGGAAGAGAAGGACGATGCAGGAGAGAGGGATGACGCGGGAGAGAGAGGGATGACGCTGGAGAGAGAGGGATGACGCTGGAGAGAGAGGGACGACGCGGGAGAGGGTCTGACGACGCGGAACAGAGAGGGACGACGCGGGAGAGGGAGTGTGGGAGCTAGTTCTCTCTGGCCTAGCTGCTACGCGGCTATGCTGCTAGCTCGCTTTGTGCCCAGGCAGCTAGCTCGCTACACCTACGCGCCGAGAGAAGAGTTCGCCGTGCCCCTAGGCTGTTAGCACGCTACGCGCCAACGCAGATACCTCGCTGTGCGCCTAGCCAGCTTACGGGCCATGGGCGCCGAGGCGCCTTGGCAGCTACCACGCTACGCCCTAGGCTGCTACCACGCTGCGGGTGTAGGCTGTTAGCTCGCCACGCGCCTAGGCTGCTAGCTCGCCACGCGCCTAGGCAGCTAGCGCACCACGCGCCGAGTGAGGTAGATCACCGTGAGCCTAGGCAGCGTGCACACTACGCGCCTAAGCAGCTAGCTCACTGTGTGCCTAGCTTGCACGCCATGCGCCTAGGCAGCTAGCTTCACGCGCCTAGGCGGCTAGCTTCCTACGCGCCTAGGCAGCTAGCGTACCACACGCCTACGCAGCTAGCTCAATGTGTGCCTAGCTTGCACGCCATGCTCCTAGGCAGCTAGCTTCACGCGCCTAGGCGGCTAGCGTCCTACGCGCCTAGGCAGCTAGCATGCCACATGCCTACGCAACTAGCTCAATGTGTGCTTAGCTTGCGCGCCATGCGCCTAGGCAGCCAGCTTCACGCGCGTAGGCGGCTAGCTTCATACGCGCCTAGGCAGCTAGCATGCCACACGCCTACGCAGCCAGCTCGTCCCGCGCCTAGGCAGCTAGCACGCCACGCGCCTAGGCAGCCAGCTCGTCACGCGCCTAGGCAGCTAGCACGCCACGCACCTAGGCAGCTAGTATGCTACGCGCCTAGGCTGCTAGCTCGCCGCGGGCCTGGGCAGCTAGCACGCCATGCGAGCCACGACGCGGAGAGAGGTTGGTAACATCTGATTGGGATACGGCGCATGCGCAAAATAGCTTACGTCTCTTGTTTGGTGTGCCTTACTCGTCCTAGCAATTGTCGCCTCTAATAAGCCACCTAAATGCAAACCTGGGCCCAACTTGAAATCAGCTTGGGCCCAGCCCGCTTCTGCGATTGAGAGTCGTGCAAACGACCCAGCGCGGTGTGCGCGTCGCATGCGTCAATTGCACATCCCACTCGTCGTTGCGATGTCCTTACTGGGATTTCGCTGCAAGAACGAAAGGTCATTACTCGTACAGCTCAAAGTTTGACTTTCAGGCGGTTTAGCGCAAGTATACCAACGTGTGTATGATTGCACAAGGGCGAAACCGAAGCCCAATAGTTGAGCCTCATTTCCTTTCAACTTGCCCTAACAAAAAAATGATGTGGGCTGTTAGCCCAAAAACGCAGGCACGAAAACCCCCCTTGCAACATGGCAAAGAGGCAGGTGTGAGTCCCCTGCCAAATGACGGGGCTCAAACCTGACGCCTCTGCCAGGTTGCGTTGCCCTTGGGAACTCCCGCGCAAGCACGAGGTGGACGAATATGAAGTTTCGCAAAAACATTTCGCTTATCTTCTTACTCGTCAACCAATCTTAACCTGCTGCCCCACCTACTTCAACAGTACCAATATGCAACCTGCCGGTCGGGCTTTAATGTGTGCAGGGTGTGCAGCAGACTACGAGGGTATCTGGAAATTCGTTAACATATCCCTTCCTCGCTAGTCATTTGATATGGTATTAGAGCGGGTTCCCCCTCCCAGGCCTGCTCCCCACGCTTCCGCCGCGTACTCCTCCTTTCACTCGCGCGCTGCCATGGCGGCCGCGTCGAGCTGCTGTGGCGGCGTCGTCTTGCCGCTGGCCGCGTCGTGCCGCGGCCTTCTCGATGCGCTGCCGTGGCGTCGCGCTGTCGTGGCGTCGACGTCCAGCCGTGACGGCGCCGCATTCGTAGTGCCGCTGGCCGCGTCGTGCTGCGGCCGTCTCGACGCGCTGCCGTGGCGCCGCGCCGTCGTGGCGTCGAAGCCGCTCTGTGACGGCGTTGTCGGGCAGCAGCCGGCCGCGTGATGCCTGTGGCGCTGCTAGACCCGCCGTCCCGCCAGTAAGCGTCGCGCCATCCATGGCGCGTCGCTGAAGACTTGCCCTCCCCCCATTTTCCCCTCCTCTGCCTTACCATCTCCTCCTCGCCACAGCTGTCGCCTGACTTGCGGGGGTCCCCACCGTCGTTGAGACTGGACACGCCGCCGAGAGGGCCGGGGCCGCTGCCGTTGCCGCTGTTGTCGAAGTCGCTGTCGTCGCCGCTGCTGTCGCCGCTGGCCGTTGCCGCCGCACGCCGCCGTCGCCACCGCTGTCGTCACTGCAGCGGCTGCCGCCGTAGCCATCTTACGGGCCGTGGGATTGGCTATTTGAACTAGAAACTAGGACGCCATGAAAGTGGCGTGAGGTTTTAGGAGCTAGGAGAACTAGGAGAGAGAGTTTGACGAGAGAAAAAGAGCGCCTTAGAAAAGAAGAGAGAGGGATACAAGGAGGGGTGTTGTACCCTCTACAGTAATGTTCAGTAACGTCTACCAAGCCTACAATTATATAATAACATGTATAATTTAACACACCCCCTAGGCTTAGTAGCAGAAGGACCCACACACCCCCTAACCTAGCACCCCCATTCCCAGCAGCCACGACTACTCCAGCAGGGCCAACCCCAAGGCCCTGGAGATGGCGACGGCGACAGTCCCGCCTGCGGCGACAGCGACGGTGACGGTGGCGTGCGACGGCAACAGGCCTGCGGCGACGACAGCAGCGACGGCGACGGCTTCGGCTTACGACTGCGGTAACGGCAGCGGCCCCCGCCCTTTCGGCGGTGTTCCCAAACTCCGCGACAGGGGGACGACCGACGAGAGTCAGGCGGCGGTTGTGGCGAAGAGGAGGAGACAGAGGGAAGGGGGAAGGGGCGGGGCTTCGGATCTTCAGCGCGGCGCCATTGCTGGCGCTGCGATTACTGGCGTGCGAGCGGGCTGCAAGTCCCGCAGCGACGCAGGTAGTGCGCGACGGCAACAGGCCGACGATACCGTCACGGCACCACTACGACACCACCACAGCGTGGCATCGGAGTCGCGGCTGCTCGCCGACGCTAAGACGACAGCACACAGAGGCCGCTGCGGCATCTCGGAAAATGTGCCACGGCGGCAGGAAAACAGAAGGCCGCGACGGCGGCCAAGTAAGGAGGGGTACGCGGCGGAAGCGTGGAGAGCAGGCCCGTGAAGGGCGTCCTACTCTGAAACCATGTTTGAAACTAGAAACTAGGACGCCATGAAAGTGGCGTGAGGTTTTAGGAGCTAGGAGAACTAGGAGAGAGTTTGACGAAAGAAAAAGGGGGCCTTAGAAAAGAAGAGAGACGGATACAAGGAGGGGTGTTGTACCCTTTACAGTAATGTTCACTAAGGTCTACCAAGCCTACAATTATATACTAACATATATAATTAAACGTTGGCCTCACTAGAGTAGTCGTGGTTGCTGCTTGAGAATGGGGGTGCTAGGTTAGGGGGTGTGGGTGTGTGTGGGCTTGCCATTACCAAGCCTAGGGTGTTAGCATACGAGAATGATAACTAGAGGGAGAAACCTAGAACAAATACCTATTGGGATTGTACTCACTAGAAACACACACCTAGTCTACATGCAGTATATGTATAAGTTGACACACCCCCTAGGCTAGAGAAGGGGTGGTGCTAAGCAAGAAGCACACAGCTCAGGGTGGCACTACTAGTCCAACCACTGAGGCAGGGGTCCGGAGACCAGTCAGCAAGAGTACAAACAAGACAAAAGCAAGCCAGGGCGGCACTACTAGTCCAGCCACTAGAGGTAAGGCCACAAGGCCAGTCAAACAAGTATCTATAGTTGTCACAGGATCGAATGTGTCGAGGAAAGGTTCCACTATCGATCAGTACAAGGCGCTTTTATACTTCCAGAGTACATCAGGTAACCAGGTTTATCTTATCCTAAGGGAATAGACCCTTCTAGAAGATAGAATCACCCTGCGTATAGCCACGCGAGGCTATTGGCTTTAAGGGATTACGGCAGGATTACGCTAGATATAGCGCACCAATACATCCCAAGCCTGGTCGGTGATATACTTATAATAGCAGGATAAACCAAAGGTTAAGGAAAAAGGGAGAATAGGAAACCAAATGAGATGCGGTAAAAAGAGAAATGAAAAGGGAAGGAAATAAGAAAAGGCCAAGTGGTGTAACGGGGTCGTACTCTCACACTTCCCCCCCTCAAAGCTGGGTGGTAGAAGTAACACCCTGCTTGACAAGGTAGTCATGCAGAGGACGACGGGCGTTACCCATGTCGGACTCAGGTACCCAGCTGTCCTCAGAAGGATCATAACCCTTCCAACGGATGAGAAGCTCCACGGTGCCATTCCGACGACGACGATGTGCAAGCACGGACTCGACCTCGTACTCGGGTTCGTTCTGGACGAGGACGGGCGGCGGCGGCGGCGGCTGGCGTCCCACGAAGATCGTGTTAGGATCTCGATAGGGCTTCAGAAGTTGGACATGGAAGGCGTTGTGAATCTTCCAGGTAGCTGGCAGGCGTAAGCGGAAGGTAACGGGAGTGACTTGTGTTTCAACGAGAAAAGGCCCGCAAAAGCGAGGTCGAAGTTTAGATGGGAGATGGCTGATGTCCAGGTTGCGGGTGTCGAGGAGCACCTGGTCTCCCACTGTGACGGTGTGATCGTTACGATGGCGATCGGCTTGGCGCTTTTGTTGCTGTTGAATGTCGAGTAGGCGCTTGTGGGTCCGATCCCAAAGCTGGTGCATGGTTGTAATGAAATCATGTGCGGGTTGGACTGTAGCTGATGCTGTCGGTTTTTGTAGTGTGAGTGGGTGGCGTCCGTAGCAGAGGAAGAACGGCGTCTGTCCAGTAGCGGCATGTGTAGCATTGTTGTAGGCAAACTCCAGAACGGGCAGGTGCAAGTCCCATTTGGAGATGTCGTCCTTGCAGGCTGCTCGGAGGAGTTGCTCAACAATTTGGTTGAGGCGCTCGGTCTGTCCGTCTGTCTGCGAATGGTATGCGGATGACATGGCGAGTTTGGTGCCGAGAAGAGACATAAGTTCCTTCCAGAACTTGCTGGTGAACTTGGGGTCTCGGTCGGAAATGAGTGTAGTTGGGATGCCATGCTGTGAGATGATGTGACGAACGAAGAGCTGTGCTGTCTCCTCGGTGCGTGCCGTCGTGTGTGTCGGGATGAAGTGTCCCATTTTGGAGAACTTGTCAATGACGACAAGGATGGCGTCATGACCGCTGGAGGTAGGTGGTAACCCGGTGATGAAGTCTAGGCTAACCACTTGCCATGGTTGTTCTGGGACAGGAAGAGGCTGCAGTAGTCCCGCCTTTTTCTGCTTGCTGCTCTTCATCCGCTGACATGTATCACACGAGGTGACGAATTTCTGGACGTCATCTGCCATATGGGGCCAGTAGTAGTGTTTGGCGATACCGGTGAGCGTCTTGTTGCTACCGAAGTGTCCGGCGTACAGGACGTCGTGGTATTCTTCGAGTAGTAACTGGCGCAAAGGAGGGTAATTGGGTACCCAGATTTTTGTGGATCCCTTCCGGTATGCGATGTCATTGTCCCACTGTAACAGATGTCGCTTTTCTGCCAAGGGAATTTCGGGGTCGATGGCGTACCCGTGGGTGAAGAGTCCCTTGAGTAGTGGATTCATCCCTTCGATCTCAATCGCGGCAACGTGTGCAGGCCGGCTGAGAGCGTCTGCTTTGTTCTTGTGGCCGGGCTTGTACACGATGTCGTAGTGGAAGTGTGTCTCGAGGAAGTCGATCCACCGGACCTGCCGCCTGGAAAGGTTGGGTTGTGTTTTCAAATATTTCAGGCTGCAGTGGTCGGTGTAGACGGTTGTTCTTCGTCCTTCGAGATAGCATCTCCACGCTTTGAAGGCGATGATGATAGCAAGAGCCTCTTTGTCGTGTATCGGGTAGTTGAGTTCTGCCCCGTGCAGTTTCTTGCTGAGGTAGGCAATTGGTTGCAGTCCATTCCCCTGGTCTTGCATTAAGACTGCTCCCACTGCCTGGTCGCTGGCGTCAGCTTCGATTACGTAGTCGCGTTCGGGATCTGGCAAGATGAGCACCGGTGCGGACGTTAGTGCTTGTTTCAGCTGCTCCACGGCTTCCTGGTGCTTCGTCTCCCATTTGTAGGGCGTGTTCTTCTTCAGCAGATTCGTGAGTGGTGCCGCGAGTTTCGCATATTGTGGCACGAACCTGTTGTAGTAATTAGCGAAGCCTAGGAACTGCTGCAACTCCTTCACGTTCTCGGGTGTCTTCCACGTACGTACGGCTTCGATTTTCTTGGGGTCGACGTGAACTCCTTGAGCGCTCACCATATGTCCTAGGAACTGGACCTTTTCAAGGGCGAATTCGCTCTTGGACAGTTTGACGTAGAATCGTTCCCGTCGAAGAATTTCGAAGACGCGTCGCAGGTGTTCGACGTGCTGCTTCATGTCGCGCGAGTAGATGAGTATGTCATCCAGGTACACCACCACGCTTTCGTCCAGAAGTGGTCGTAGAATGTGGTTCATTTCGGCTTGGAACGTTGCCGGCGCGTTGGTGAGTCCGAACGGCATGACCAAATACTCGTACGATCCGTACCGAGTTCGAAAAGCAGTTTTGTGGATAGAGTTGTCCGCCATCCGTATCTGCCAGTATCCGGACCGCAGATCCAGTTTGGAAAATACCGTAGCTCCCCGAAGCTGGTCAAGCAGGTCATCGATTCGCGGTATCGGATATTTATTCTTGATGGTCTGCTTGTTAAGAGCTCGGTAGTCGATGCACATGCGCAGGCTTCCGTCGGTTTCGGTGTGAAGAGTACTGGGGCACCGTATGGCGAAGTGATGGTCGGATGAGTCCTTTGGCTAGGAGATACTCGATTGTTTTTTCATGTCGGTCAGCTCCGTAGGGCTGAGCCGATATGGTGCTCGGAAGGTCGGCTTCGAACCCGGTTCCTCCACGATCTCGTGTTGATGCGTTCGGTATGGCGGTAGCTCGTTCGGAAGATCGTCAGGAAGAATGTCTTGGAACTCCTTCAGTAATTCCTTGATTTTTTCTGGAGTTTCCGAGGCTTTCTCTCCGTCATTCTCCACCTCTGTTGTTATTGCCAGGAACCCGGTGTCGGTCCGCTTCACATCCTTCTCGAATCGTGCGAGTGTCTCCGTTGGGATATCTCCAGTATCGTCCCAGTTGGGTAGCTGTACTCTCCGTCCATTGTTGTAGATGCTTGCGGTGCGGTTCACCCAGTTGATCTCGGGGTTGAATTTTTAAGGAAGTCTCGCCCGAAGATCAAGTCAAGCCTTTGATGTTGGTGATGGGTAGTGCAGGTCTCCAGCGCAGTGGTCCAATTTGTAGATGTAGCACTGCTTCGCCGTGTACTGGTACTTGCTGCCGTAATCGTTGCAGAGATCCTGAAGGCTTGTCTTTGTCATTGTTGTAGATGCTTGCGGTGCGGTTCCAGTTGATCTCGGGGTTGAATTTTTTCAGGAAGTCTCGCCCGAAGATCAAGTCAAGCCCTTTGATGTTGGTGATGGGTAGTGCAGGTCTCCAGCGCAGTGGTCCATTTGTAGTGTAGCACTGCTTCGCCGTGTACTGGTAACTTGCTGCCGTCCACCATCGTTGCAGAGAATCCTGAAGGCTTGTACTCTTCCCGAAGTCGGTCGATCATTGCCTTGTCGCAGACGGTGTGTGACGCTCCGCTGTCCACGAGTGCTTGGAGGCGTCGTCCTTTGCAGATGACCTCGAGCACGAGGGGCAGTCGTTGCTCGGAGTACCCAAAGATAGTTTCATTGATTGGGTCATAGGGTACATCCCAATACTCCGTACACACCTTTGTGTTGCTATCTACTCCTGAGCTGGCAGCTGGCCGAGGCTGCTTGGAGAACGGCTCTTCTCCAGGGCCCGGAGTTTCCTTGACGACTGTGCGCGTCACTGATGCCGATGAACTGGATGCATCCGTAGAGGAGTTCGGGGTTTGTGCAGCTTTTTGTAGACCCCCAGCTTCCTCTTGAGCTGCTTCAGCTCCACCGACGTCTTCCCTGGGGAGCGGGTAGTCGTTATGGGCTGGTGTCGGGAGAGGACGTTGACTCCGTGGAAAGGTCGGCTTCTTTCCACACTCCTTAATTTGGTCCCCAAGTTGTCCGGTACCGGTATGGTCTCCACAGCTTTCTGCTTCTTTTGGAGTCCCTCCCGTATTTTCTCCAAGGCTCTGGCTCCTCGAAAATCATAAGTTTTGATTAAAGCATCTTTATAAGATAACTTTAACGAATTCTTATAATTTCTTGGGTCTTCAAGGAGTTTCCCTGTCTCGGCAGAGTCTTTTTTCGCGGAGTCGTATTTTTTCTCGGCGATTTTCCCTGGCGAAGACTGGTCGTGGGGTGGAGATTTTCCCCCATCATTTCCTCCTTCTCGCGTCGAATCCGCTTCGTCGAAGTCGATTTTTCCGGAGTCCCGCGGCCGTTTTCGGATCTTTTTATTTTCGCCAGCTAGATCCGCAATCACTGGCGACTCCCGTTTTTTGTCTTCTGATTGGCCGAAAGATTTCCGCCACTGTTGCGTGCCCGATACTCTGCGCGTGCGGCCTTCATTTTGTTGCAGTCGAAGATTCGGTGGCCCGGCACCCCGCAAAAATCACACGTGTAGTTGGTGTTTTTCGGACGTGGCCGCCCCTCGAATCTGTCGACTTCCATCGGGTCGGCGAACGTGGGGTGTGCCGAGCGGTCGCCCTGTCGCGTACTGCCGACGTGCGTCCGTCGTGTTCCGGCGTTGACCATGTCGAAGCGCTCCGCTGCCGAAACGACGTCACTGTAGCTCGCGTAGTTTGACGCTGCGACTTGTCGTTTGACTTCGGTCTTCAGCCCGGCGAGGTACGATTGTACTTTTTCCCCTTCGGTCAGGTCGGGAATTCGGTTATAAAATTCTTCCATCTGCTGCGTGTACTGCGCTACACTCCCGAACTGTCAGTGTCGATGAATTTTTTCCCGGGCAAGGAAACTCGAATTTATCGGTTCGAAGCGTTTCAGCAGGTCGGCGCGGAACTGCTGCCACGTGGCTTCACCGTGGATAAAGGTGCTGTTGCCGCCAATCCACTCGAGTGCCGGCCCTCGCATCAGTGTCGCCGCGAGTCGTACACGTTGACCGTCCCAGACTGGCGAGCTCCATCCGACGGCTGCGAAGTAGATCTCCATCCCGGCGATCCATCTGCGGGCGTCGGAGTTTCGATCGCTCGGATCGAACGGCTCAGGTGGGCGCGGTTTCGGAGCCTCGAGAAACTACTGCGACTGCTGCGTCGTCGCCGTTGTCGTCTCGTGCTGCGCTCCGGCGAGTCGAGTTACTCGCTCGAACTGGTTTCGCCACGCTTCGCGATCCGCTCGCATTTCCTCCTGAAGGGCTGCGATGCGCGCGAAGAGCTGCTGGGTAACCTCGGCGTTGTCGAAGGTTGCCATCCTGTTCAAAACACGCACGGAGGGGGTAATTCGAAAATCGCGGAGCTGGTGCTTACCAGCATCGGCGTCGAATTGGTCGCCCCCGGCGGTTTTTCGAGGCAGGATCCCCGCTGCTGCTGCTTAGCTGAGCGCGGCCGAGTGAGAAAAGCTCTGATTACCAAGTGTTACAGGATCGAATGTCCCGAGGAAAGGTTGCACTATCGATCAGTACAAGGCGCTTTTATACTTCCAGAGTACATCAGGTAACCAGGTTTATCTTATCCTAAGGAAATAGACCCTTCTAGAAGATAGAATCACCCTGCGTATAGCCACGCGAGGCCATTGGCTTTAAGGGATTACGGCAGGATTACGCTAGATAGAGCACACCAATACATCCCAAGCCTGGTCGGTGATATAATGATAATAGCAGGATAAACCAAAGGTTAATGGAAAAGGAAGAATAGGAAACCAAATGAGATGCGGTAAAACGAGAAATGAAAAGGGAAGGAAATAAGAAAAGGCCAAGTGGTGTAACGGGGTCGTACTCTCACAGTGGTATTCTTTGAGTAGTAATTGGCGCAAAGGAGGGTAATTGGGTACCCAGATCTTAGTTGATCCCTTCCGGTATGCGATGTCACTGTCCCACTGTAGCAGGTGTCGTTTTGCTGCTTAAGGAATTTCAGGGTCGATGGCGTTCCCATGTGTGAAGAGTCCCTTAAGTAGTGGGTTCATCCCTTCGACCTGGATTGCGGCAACGTGTGCAGGCCGACTCAGAACGGCTGCTTTGTTTTTGTGGCCGGGCTTGTACACGATGTCATATTGGAAGTGCGTCTCGAAGAAGTCAATCCACCGGACCTGCCGTCTGGAGAGGTTTGGTTGTGTCTTCAGATATTTCAGGCTGCAGTGGTCGGTGAATACGGTTGTCCTCTGTCCTTCGAGATAACATCTCCACGTTTTGAAGGCAATTATAATAGCAAGGGCCTCCTTGTCGTGTATCGGGTAGTTGAAATCTGCCCCTTGTAGTTTCTGGCTGAGGTAGGCGATTGTTTACAGTCCATTCACCTGGTCTTGCAGCAAGACTACTCCCACTGCCTGGTCAATGGCGTTAGATTCGATGACGTAGTCATGTTCGGGTTCTGGCAAGATGAGTACAGGTGCGGACGTGAGTGCTTGTTTCAGCTTCTCCACGGCTTCCTAATGTTTTGGTTCCCACTTATAGGGCGTGTTCTTCTTCAGTAGATTCGTGAGTGGTGTTGCGATTTTCGCATACTGTGGCACGAACCTGTTGTAGTAGTTAGCGAAGCCTAGGAACTGCTGCAACTCCTTCACATTCTCGGGTGTCTTCCACGTGCGTACGGCTTTGATCTTCTTGGGGTCGACGTGAACTCCTTGAGTGCTCACCATGTGTCATAGGAATTGGACTTTCTCGAGGGTGAATTCACTCTTGGATAGCTTGACGTAGAATCGTTCTCGTCGAAGAATGTCGAAGACGCGTCGTAGGTGTTGGACTTGCTGCTGCATGTCGCGCGAGTAGATGAGGATGTCGTCCAGGTACACCACCATGCATTCGTCCAAGAGTGGGCGTAGAATACGGTTCATTTCCGCTTGGAGTGTTGCCGGTGCGTTGGTGAGTCCGAACGGCATTACCAGATCCTCGTACGACCCCTACCGAGTGCGGAAAGCAGTTTTGTGGATGGAATTGTCCGACATTCATATATGCCAGTATCCGGACCACAGATCCAGTTTGGAGAATACCATGGCTCCCCGAAGCTGGTCAAGCAGGTCATCAATTCGTGGGATTCGGTATTTGTTCTTGATGGTCTGCTTGTTGAGATCTCGGTAATCGATGCACATGCGCAGGCTTCCGTCCGGTTTCTGCGTGAAGAGTATTGGGGCACTGTATGGCGAAGTGTTGCGAGGAGATACTCGACCTGTTTCTTCATGTCGGCTAGCTCTGTGGGGCTGAGCCGATATGGTGCTTGGAAGGTCGGCTTTGAACTGGTTCTTCCACGATCTCGTGTTGGTGCGTTCGGTATGGCGGCAGCTCGTTCGGACGGTCGTCGGGAAGAACGTCTTGGAACTCCTTTAGTAATTACTTGATGTTTTGTAGAGGTTTCGAGGCTTTCTCTCCGTCACTTTCCACATCTGTCGCTATCGCCAGGAACCCGGTGCCGGTTCGTTTTACGTCCTTCTGGAATCTTGCGAGTGTCTTGACTGGAATATCTCCTGTATCGTCCCAATTGGGTAGGTGGACTCTCCTTCCATTGTTGTAGATGCTTGCGGTACGATTGACCCAGTTGATCTCGGGGTTGAATCTTTTCAGGAAGTCTCGCCCGAAGATCAAGTCAAGCCCTTTTATGTTGGTGATGGGGAGTGCAGGTTTCCAGCGCAGTGATCCAATTTGTAGGTGTAACACTGCTTCGCCGTGTACTGGTAACTTGCTGCCATCCACTATTATTGCAGAGAATGCTGAAGGCTTGTACTATTCAAGAAGTCGGTCGATTACTGCCTTGTCGCAGACGGTGTGTGATGCTCCGCTGTCCACGAGTGCTTGGAGACATCGTCCTTTGCAGATGACCTCGAGCACGAGGGGCGAGCGTTGCTCGGACCAAATATAGTTTCGTTAATAGGATCATAGGGTACATCCCAATATTCCATACACACCTTTTTCTTGCTATCTTCTCGTGGGTAAGCAGCTGGCCGAGGCTGCTTGGAGAAAGCTTCTCCCTTAGTACCCTGAGCTTTCTTGACGACTGTCACAGGATCGAATGTGTCGAGGAAAGGTTTGCTCAATGTTGCACTATCATTAAGTACAAGGTGCTTCTATACTTCCAGAATACATCAGGTAACCAGGTTTATCCTATCCAAAGGAAATAGACCCTTCTAGAAATAGAATCACCTTGCGTATAGCCACGCGAGGCTATTGGCTATAAGGGATTACTGCAGGATTACGCTAGATATAGCGCGCCAGTACATCCCGAGCCCGGTTGGTGATATAATTATAATAACAGGATAAACCAAAGGATAATGGAAAATGAGGAATAGGAAACCAAATGAGATGAGATAAAGACCAAATGAATCAGGATAAAAAGAGGAATGAAATAGAAAGGAAATATGGAAAGGGGAAAATCGTGTAACGGGGTCGTACTCTCACACTTCCCCCCCTCAAAGCTGGGTGGTAGACGTAACACCCTGCTTGACAAGGTATTCGCAAAGAGGACGACAGGCGTTACCCATGTCGAATTCGGAGATGCAGCCTCAGAAGTATCATAACCCTTCCAGCAAAGAAGAAGCTCCAGAGTGCCATTCGGACGATGACAGTGTCCGAGCACGTAGTTGTCCCATGGCGTGGACGAATACAGACGATGACAGTGGTTGGCATTCGGTATAGAGCGTGTTTGGTCTTGATAGGGTTTAAGAAGCTGGTATGGAAGGTGTTATGGATCTTCCAAGTGGCTGGTAGGCGGAAGCGGAAGGTGACTGAAGTGACCGTTGCTTCAAAGAGGAAAGGCCCGTTGAAGCGAGGTCGCAGTTTGGATGGAAGATGGCCGATATCAAGATTGCGCGTGTCGAGCAGTACCCGGTCTCCCACGGTAATGGTGTGGTCTGTGCAGTGACGATCGGCCTGGCGCTTCTGTTGTTGCTGAATGTCGAGAAGGCGCTTGTGGGTCCGATCCCAAAGTTTGTGCATGGTCGTGATGAAATCATGAGCGCGTTGGACTGTGACTGATATGGTTGGCTGTTATGGTGTGATCGGGTGGCATCCGTAACAGAGGAAGAACGGCGTCTGTCTAGTAGCGGCGTGAGTAGCATTGTTGTAGGCAAACTCCAGGACGGGTAGATGCAAGTCCCACTAGAAGATTTCATCCTTGCATGCTGCGCGGAGGAGTTGCTCCACAATTTGGCTAAGACGCTCGGTTTGTCCGTCTGTCTGCGGATGGTATGCGGATGACATGGCGATGAAATCGGAAGCCAGTTGGACTGTAGCAAGAACTGTCTGTTGCTACGGAATGAGCGAGCTCCGTCCACAGTAAGGAAGCATGGTGTGTATCGCCGTCAGTGATATATGGGCAGGTGCAAGTTGCAGTTGGAGATGTGAATGGTTGGAACGGTATGCTGTAACGTGCAGATGAATGGATATGTTGTCCAATTTGTGCATGCTGTTACCCGCATCTGGTCCACGTGTGAAGATCACGAAGTGTTGGTGGTATGGCAGTTATGTCATAGTACAGCTTCTGTCGAATGCTGGTCCATGCCATGATGTTGTCGTGAATCGTACCCACTCAGCATCGTAGTGCTGCGGAATGGAGAGTAGAATCACTAGTAGTAACCCTGCCCACAACGCGGTCTGCTAGTCACACTGCCTTGAGTACAACAGCGCATGCAAAGTGCTGCGCAGCGTATCCCATGTGTTCAAAACCAAGCGAGGGGTTGGTGCTACAAACGCGGAGCTGGTAACTTCCAGAATCGGGCCAAGTAGTTTCCCTCGGTGGTTGCTCAGGCAAGGAATCTCAGCTACGTAGATATCCCATGGTGATGGGTTAGGATACTTGGGAATATTAGGGGCATTCCCAAATAATCCTTTCCCGTTTCCAAATGAGCACTGCTGACAGCCAATTCAGTATGACCTTATGCACTTCCAGTTTAGCATGGAGGCCATCGGTAGGCATCGGTGTCTGGGCGCACATATTGGAATAGGTCTTCTGGTGCCATCATGTGTTGTCTCATTCTGTTACTGTCCTTGAAGTAGCGTTGATGTCGAAGAAGTCTCAGCTACTCAGCATCGGTGTTGAAGTCTTCTCCATTTCGGCAAACAGGGGTGTTGTTGAAGATACGCGGAGTCCACTATCCGGAGTGGCGTCGGCGCTCCATTTCACGCCTACCTGCTTCCGTGGAGTTGGTGCTGGTGATGGATTGGTTGCGACGCAGGTTTTATGACTTTAAGGAAAGCCATAGGCGATGAGGACTTGTATACCGGTAGAGTACCGTGGTCCTCCCATCCTCATACGAGCAAATATCTTCAGCTCTTGAGGGTGTATGGCATTGCCATGCTGTTTCCTCGCATAGTGGTATCTCCTTCCCACTAGCTGAAAATAATAGTATTGTGCCTGACCAGGACTTTACGATCATACTGGAAAATAATCCAGCGTTTTCTCCATTGAGCGGAGAATCATCCATCAGGATTTGGTTGTGACTGTTGTGTCGAGTCTTCTGCTGCGGCGGCGGCGGCGGTTGCGACGACGGCGACGACGGCAGCTGCTGCAGAGAATTCTCTCAACTCGTACCAGTTGAAGGAGAATCCATCAACTCCCCCTTCCCAGTAGAGTGTTCCTGATGGGTGTAACAGGCGTAACTACCAGGAACACGTGCACATTGGTACACATGTGTTGCTCCATTGCTGCCGGTGATTGTTTCATTTGAGGGTGTGAAGATAAATTTGCTTCTCCCCTCAATGTATCCACGGGTAGCAATTCCTGGTATGCTCATCCGTGCCTCCGATGTACGGTCGGTAGAGCGCGTGATCGTGTTGTAGTAGTCCGCATCTCCCTCATTTGTTGACACCTCGTGTTGCTTGACGTTCTCCTGCATCGTCGAAGTTACGTTGGTGCTTGTAACGATTCGGCTTCTGGTAGAATCGCCTCCAATGCATGTGCCGTAGGGTCGCTAGTGAACGAGTACTTGCCGGACTAGAGGTTAATTACTCCTCAATCTGTCAAGCATCGTGACGTGCACGGAATTTTTTTCCACGCAGGTCATTAACACCTGGAATCGCGACGCATGATTGGTGTGTCGCCTCGTGAGGTCGATGTTGAGATTGCTCCAATCAATCACATCGAATGGCTGAGATTCTTGATGAAGACGAATCGTTCAGCTCCTGTTACGAAGTAGTGTCTCGCTGGCCTTGACGAGACGGGTTCACTGCGTCGTCGTTGCGTGCGAAATCTGCTCCTTCGCAACAACTTGAACTTGGGAGCATTGCAAGAGAAAACGGCTACTTCTCTGCAATCCCATAGGCTGTCGATCAATTTGTATGAAGAAGTGTCTCGTGGATGGAGAACATGTCTTCACGCAGCTCCTTTATTTTTCCTGGGTGAAGATCCCGTCGTGTTGATGTCGATCCATTTTTAACGAAGATGACTTCGTCAAAATAAATAGATCGTTATCGACACTAGTTAGAACATGCGTCGATTGTGCAGTCGCTGATCACGAATGTTGTCTCCATGATGATGATTTCCCATAAGTGTTGTCACTGCTACATTCGTGCCGTTGATTCCGCAACGATCCGACGATCCACGTTCTCCCGTCAGTTTTCTGCTTGCAGCTATTACCAAGTAGGTAATACTCTGGCAGATTTCTGACTCTGCAGATGATATTGCGCCTCAAATTCGTGACCAAATGGAGGAATCCGAATTTGGTTGTCCAAATGTTGAAAACGGTGTCGAAGGCGGCTGATTTCAGGTTCTGCGCGTCATTCTCCCTTTATGCAGAAATTGCGCTCCATCTCGTCCGTTGAAGTAGACTTTGATCCGACGGTCCAAACTCCAAGCGATCTGAAGATATTCCTGAGACGCGTTCAGCAGCTTTCGGTGCACGGGTCGACTCGTTCCCTGCAGCAATTTTCGGTCGTCGATGTTGGCTGTCGAACGATCGGACGCTCCGAAGAACTTCACAGCTTGCGAGGTCCCGTTCCCATTCACGCTAAACTCGAACTCGCTCAGAAGGTTTCGTTGTCGCCTCGGTCGATCTGAAGCGTCGACTCTCCATCGGACGGATGTCGTCGGTCGCAGCTCCGCACATTTCCGCGCAACTCCGAGAGTCGTGGCGAACTGCGAACTCCTCGGAATGTCGCAGGGAGTGTTCCGCCAGAAGTGACGCGCTCGCGAGGTCGAGGCCGTTTGCCCCCGCGAAAAATCGGCACCGTCGATGCAGTTCATCGAACGGTCGGCGAAGCATCTCGCCTTCGAGGGGGACCCCCAGTGCAACAGCGAGAGGAACGTCGAAACTTAAATGAAAGTGCATTGTACTTACAGGAATTGAAGTTTCGACTCCATCCTCCGCGTGCTCCTGGGGGCCCAGCGGTTAAGTTTTGAGCTGAAACCTTGGCTCTGATTACCAAGTGTCACAGGATCGAATGTGTCGAGGAAAGGTTGGCTCAATGTTGCACTATCATTCACTACAACGTGCTTTTATACTTCCATAATATATCAGGTAACCAGGTTTATCCTATCCAAAGAAAATAGACCCTTCTAGAAATAGAATCAACTTGCGTATAGCCACGCGAGGCTATTGGCTATAATGGATTACTGCAGGATTACGCTAGATATAGCGCGCCAGTACATCCCGAGTCTGGTCAGTGATATAATTATGATAACAGGATAAACCAAAGGATAACGGAAAATGAGGAATAGGAAACCAAATGAGATGAGATAAAGACCAAATGAATCAGGATAAAAAGAGGAATGAAATAGAAAGGAAATATGGAAAGGGGAAATTGGTGTAACGGGGTCGTACTCTCACAACGACTGTGTGTGTCGTTGATGTCGAATTTGCTGAGCTGGATGCATCCGGAGGAGGAGTTAGGGGTTTTTGCTGCTTCAGCTCCACCGACGTCTTCCTTGGGGAACGGGTAGTCGATGTGGGCTGGTGTCGGGAGAGGAAGTTGACTCCATGGAAAGGTCGGCTTCTTTCCACACTCCTTAATTTTGTCCCCATGTTTTCCAGCACCGGTATGATCTCCACAATTTTCTGCTCCTTCTGGAGTTCCTCCCGAAATTTCTCCAAGGCTCTAGCCCCTCGAGAATCATAAGTTTTCATTAAAGCATCTGTATTAGATAACTTTAACGAATCCTTATCATTTCTTGGGTCTTCTCGGAGTTTCCCCGTCTCGGCAGAGTCCTTTTTCGCGGTGTTGGATTTTTTCTCGGCGATTTTCTTTGGCGAAGATTGGTCGTGGGGTGGAGATTTTTCCCCTTCATTTCCTCCTGCTCGCGTTGAATCAGTTTCATTGAAGTTGATTTTCCCGGAATCCCGCGGCCGCTGTCGGATCTTTTCTTTTTTGCCAGCTAGATTCGCAATCACTGGCGAATTCCGTTTTTTGTCTTCTGATTGGCCAAAGAATTTCCGCCACTACTACGTGCGCGATACTCTGCGCGTGCGGCTTTCATTTTGTTGCAGTCGAAGATTCGATGGCCCGCCACCTCGCAAAAATGACACATGTAGTTGGTGTTTTTTTAACGTGACCGCCCGTCGAACCTGCCGATTTCCATCGGGTCGGCGAACGTGGGGTGAGCCGAGCGGTCGCCCTGTCGCGTACTGCTAACGTGCGCCCGTCGTGTTCCAACGTTGACCATGTCAAACCGCTCTGCCGCCAAAACGACGTCACTGCAGCTCGTCGCTACTACCTGTCGTTTGACTTCGGTCTTCAGCTCGGCGAGATACGACTGTACTTTTTCCCATTCTGCCATATCAGGAATGCGGTTATATAATTCCTCCATCTATTGCGTGTACTGCGCTACACTCCGAACTGTCGATGTCGATAATTTTTTTCCCGGGCAAGGAAACTGGAATTTATCTGCTCGAAGCGTTTCAACTGGTCGGTGCGGAACTGCTGCCACGTGGCTTCGCCGTGGATGAAGGTACTGTTACCGCCGAACCACTCGAGTGCCGCTCCTTGCATCAGCGTTGCCGCGAGTCGTACGTTTTGACCGTCCCAGACTGGCGAGCTCCATCCGATGGCTGCGAAGTAGATCTCCATGCCGGCGATCCATCTGCGGGCGTCGGAATTTCGATCGCCCGGATCGAACGGCTTCCGTGGACGTGGTTTGGGAGCCTCGAGAAACTGCTGCAACAGCTGCGTCGTCTCTGGTGTCGTGTCGTGCTGCGCGTCGGCGAGTCGAGTTACTCGCTCGAGCTCGTTTCGTCAAGCTTCGCGATCAGTCCGCATCTCCTCCTGAAGGGCAGCGATGCTCACGAAGAGCTGTTGGGTAACCTCGACGTTGTCGAAGTTCGCCATCCTGTTCAAAACACACGCGGAGGGGTGAATTCGAAAAAACGCGGAGCTGGTGCTTACTTGAATCGGCGCCGAATTAGTCGCCCCTGACGGTTTTTCGAGGCAGGCTTTCCCGCTGCTTCTGCTTAGCTGAGCGCGACTGAGGGAGAAAAGCTCTGATACCAAGTGTTATAGGATCAAATGTGTCGAGGAAAAGTTGCACTATCGATTGATACAAGGCGCTTTTATACTTCCAAAGTACATCGGGTAACCAGGTTTATCCTATCCAAAAGGAATAGACCCTTCTAGAAATAGAATCACCTTGCGTATAGCCACGCGAGGCTATTGGCTTTAAGGGATTACGGCAGGATTACGCTAGATATAGCGCACCAGTACATCCCGAGCCTGGTCGGTGATATAATTATAATAACATGATAAACCAAAGGATAATGGAATAGGAGGAATAGGAAACCAAATGAGATGAGATAAAAAGAGGAATTCAATAGAAAAGAGATATCGAAAGGGAAAATGGTGTAACGGGATCGTTCGCTCATAGTACAACTCCAATTCACGCTTGCTTCTAGTTCATTCCTGTATTCTAGCAGTCAGAACTCAGTGACTAACCACAGAGTTAAAATGGCTTGTTAATAGCGGATACGGGCGCCCGTAGCCCCCCCATGCTCTGCACTTGTGGCCCTTCCCCAAGGATCTTCTCAAGGGTAACCCTAGCGGGTCACTCGACAAGCACAAGTCCTCAGGACAAAACCACCATGTATCACTCATTCTAGTTCATTGCGTTATTATGAGATTCAGCTCTTAGAGGGGACAACACCATGTACTTACATTTCCCTTCCCCTCTTCCTTGTCCAACTTTTCATGCTATCTCGACAGTACTAGCTTGTACTCCGTAATCATCCGGATAGACGCCACTAGGGGCGTTTACGAGACGTTTGAAAATGTGGAGGGGCGTTTAATTGGATAAATAATATACGCCCATGGGCGTTTAAAGGGATTATATGGAAATTTTAAATTTGACATTAAAACGCAGATACTGGTCTAACTTGTGCAACGAGATTAATTTTAGCAAGGCTTTATGAGTCAATTGCGCTGGAAGTCCAGTCGGCAAGTTGCCAGGCTGGAAACTCACCGTTCTGACATGAATCGTGCTGGCGCGAAGTGTCAGAGAGGGTGAGTTCCGCTTCTGGCGGGCAAGAAGCAAGAAACCTCGGTATTACCTGGATTCGCTTCGATTTTTTCACAGTGTTTCAAGAAAATTTACGGGGGGGGCTTATAGGAAACAGGTTTAGACAAATGAAGAGGGGCCTATAATCGAATAATGCTTATAAGTTCCGATGCACGAGTTAGAGCCCATGGGACTAGTCCTACGGAGGGGCGTCTATCCGGGTGATTACGGTACTACGGTATTGTGGTTTTATAAGTTCACCCACAAGAATGCGCAACCAGCTACAGCCATAAATTTCACAGTTGAATTTGGTGAAGGCTATGTTCTCAGTTCAACCACTGTGATGTTCATGTGGATGGATGGATGGAGGAGAAATCAAATGCCATTTTTACATCATAGCATAGGTCTCTACTTGACTGACATACAATATCGGAGCTGTTTGTGCAATTCAGCAATTGCAGATCCCCTTGTCACGAGGATTGTCTTGCCCGTCGATAAGCCACCGTGAAGTGCGGGATGCACTGACTCTTCCACGAAACTGATTTCCCCAGTTCTGTTCCCAATTCGACCACGGCCCCTCCATGCCAGAGCTGGGTCCAGCAGGAACTGCCCCTCCCTCGCAATCCTGCCAACCGTTCTCCCGCTGCTCTCATAACCAGCATCTTTCCACTCCATTGTGGGGTTTCAACCATTCTTTCACCTTATTGGCCATTTACTTCCTAGACATCTTCCTCAATCTTTGCATCGTAACTCCTTTCGTGTCCTTCTCAATATCCAAAGTGGCGACCACAGAGGTTAATCAGGAGCCTGCTCCAGTCGCCCCGGCCGTTGAGCCTGAGGCGCCTGTGGAATCAGTAGAGCCTGCTCCAGCTCCAGCTCCAGCAGCAGAGCCAGAGGCTCCACCCGAAACCATGGCGGAGCCAACCCCTGATAGTAAGCCTGGCGCAGAGAAGCCGAAGGCGACCGGCAAGGCAAAGGTAGCAGCCGTTAAATCTCCGAAACCGAAAGCCGCGAAGGCTGTCAAGGCGGCGAAACCTGCAGGAGCGAAGGCCAAGCCGAAGAGTTATGACCACCCGAAGTACAGTGAGGTTCGTTGTATTCAAGTTGATTTCCGGTCTGCGTCATTTTTCCAGTTCTCGTACTGTGACGAACTCTTTAATTTTTAATGTTGCAGATGGTGAGCGACGCTATCACGACGTTGAAGGAGAGAAACGGCTCCAGCCTCCACGCCATCACCAAGCATATCGAACAGAATCACCCGAGCCTTCCCGACAACTGGAAGAAGACTCTTAGCGTCCAGCTGAGAAATCTTACCAAAGCTGGCAAGCTGACGAAGGTCAAGGCGAGCTACAAGCTGGGCGGAGAAGCCAAGCAAGCGAAGCCAGCCGCGAAGAAGCCAGCTGCGTCAAAGGCGCCAGCGAAGCCCAAGGCTACCAAGGCTGCAGCGGTCACTGCCAAGCCCAAGGCGAAGTCAGTTGCCGCCAAGGTTCCTGCCAAGGCCTCTCCTGCCAAGGCTTCTCCTGCCAAGGCTTCAAAGGCAACCAAGCCAAAGCCATTGAAGAAGACTGTTGCAAAGGCGAAGACCCCAGAGAAGAAGGCATCAAAGGCTAAGGCACCAGAGAAGACTAAGGCCGTTGTTGATGCTTCCTCAGCCACCAAGAAGCCAACTCCTGTGAAGAAACGTGCAGCCAAGAAGGCGAAGGCCACCAAGTAGCTTTTCTGTCCGCCTACATTGTAGTGTGTAATATCTGAATTACTAACCTGAGTTTTGCTGAAACAGACGCCCTCTCCTTCACATGCAACATTGAGGTCCCACGAAATGGGAGGTGTTTCACTTAGCACTTGAGTCGTGGTGTTAGAATACTAGAATATTGAAAACATAAGAGTATTGTCAAACATATATTGTATGTTTTTGTAGACTGCATAGGGTTGTGCCTGTCAAACATGTGTATTTGTCATGTTTGTATAGACTGTATAGGGTCGCCTCTTAGAGAGTACAACACTTAGGTATATCTGTGTGTACTCTCACTCTATCTATATTCACTTGTTCAATTTCTGATATGGTATCACGCGTAGGTAGGATCCCCCCCACCTACCGCTTCCGCTCGCCCCCCCTAGCTATCAAACCTAGAATTTAATGATAAGAGAGAGAGTACACAAACATATACGTAAATGTTGTACTCTCTAGAAGGTGACCCTATACAGTCTATACAAACATGATAACTACACATGTTTGACACACCCCCTGGACTGCATAGGGGAATGTTCTAGACAAGCAGCTCAGGGTGGCACTACTAGTCCAGCCTCTGAGACAAGGGTCTAAAAGACCAGTCAGAAGGAGTACAGACAAGGCAAGAACGAGTACAGGGCGGCACTACTAGTCCAACCACTGTGAGAGGACACAAGTCCAGTCTGAGTGTATACATATCTATATATATACGACAGTACAAAGTCAAAGCCCGAGTAAGTGAGAGACTACAGGAACCAGACCAAGCTGTAAACAGTGCCGCTGATGATCTTTAGGCGCAAGCGCCTTCGTAAAGATATCAGCTGTGTTGGCACCGGAGGCCAAGTGTACTACGCGAGCCTGGCGACGCTGCTGTAGCTCGCGCAGGAGGAAGTACCGCAGCTGGATGTGCTTCGCTCTGCCCTCGAGTCGAGGCTCCTGACACAGGAGAATCATGGCCCTGTTGTCAGCGTACAGGACCGGGGCAGAGCTAGGCCGCTCACCTAAGTCAGTGAGCAAGAAGGTCAGCCAGCGGAGCTCCTGTGCCGCCATGGCACCGGCGTAGATCTCAGCCTCACAGCTGGACTGGGCAACAGACGAGGAGCGGGTAGCTCTCCACGAGACAGCACCTGAGCCAAGGCTAAAGCAGTAGCCCTGGGAAGACCTGAGCGTCTCGGCGTCGTCTGCCCAAGAAGCGTCTGTGTGTCCAGTAAGGACCACTGGCCTGCGTCCGCCTAGCACTAACCCCATGCCCGATGTACTTGCAAGATAACGCAAAACCCTCTTAGCGGCAGACCAGTGCTGAGGTCGGTGTCTGCCTGTGGCCACAAAACGAGCCAGGATGCTGAGAGGGTATGCGAGATCTGGGCGAGTGCAAGTCATCAGGTACATGAGCAGGGCCCAAAATTGGTTTTAGGCCACTCTTTGAGATCAGAGTAGGAAAAAAAAAATGCCCTGACGGTCAGAGCTAAAAAAATTCTAAGTCTGATTTGGCAGGGTAAAAAAATTCGAAGTCTTTGCTTCAAGTGTAGAACTCTTTGCACCCTTTCTAGCCTTGGCCATTTAAGGAACATTTTACATGAATGAAGTGGGCTGCACTGAGGTGTGGAAAGAAGGGTGTAGCGGATTTGCGCGTGCTGGGGGAGATTGGGGGATGGGATGGGACGGAAAACGATTCTGGGGCGCGAGAGGGGAATCAGATTTACATGGGCGGCAGAGGGGCGGGAAAAAAACCATCTGCTCGTGATTGGTTGGGTGTCAGAACAGAAGGGCGTATACGACGTGACGTGTCTTGCTGTGGTGTGGAGGACTTAGCGAAAATAAAAATAAAAATTTAGCGGGGGTGTGGTTGGGAGGCATGTCTCTTGTGGGGGACTTAGCCATTTCTGGGTTGCGAGGGGGTGAGGGAGCTATGACTCTGGCTATGACTTAGCCGAAATTGCTGGCTTGCATGGTGCGTGGGGTGGGAGGAATGACTCTGGCTGCCAGGGACTTCGTCGAAATTTTTGGTTGCAGGGTGTTTTGGGGGAAATGTTTCTGGCCGCCAAGGACTTAGTCGGAATCTCGGAGTTTCGATACCAGGGTAGTTTTCAGGACGCCCTGAAGGGTCAGGGTTCGGGGCCCCGCAACCCTAGTTTCGGCAGGGTAATATTTTCGTAACACTTTTTGGATCAGGGTAATAAATTTCGTAAGTCTGATTTTTAAGACCAAATGAAAAAATGCCCTGAAAAATCAGGGCAATCAGGGCATTTTACCCGGCTAATTTGAGCCCTGTACATGAGGCAACCCACTAGCTCAGCGTAAGGACCACTGGGATCTACCGACTCCTCAGGAACTGGAGCGGAGAGTCTGTGGTCCAGAGGAAGAGGGGTGGGCTGTGCGGAGGAGAACTGAAGGCCGAACCTCTGAAGGACCTGGCGCACCAAGTGTGACTGAGTCAGGGTGATGGTGCGCGCGGCTCTGTCCCTGGAGATCTGCAAGCCAAGGTAACGGCGCAGCTCTCCAAGGTCAGTGCAGGTGTGTCTCTTCAGCAGCTCTGCCTTCACGGAGGCCAGTGCGTCCCTGTCAGCAGTGGCAAAGACCAGGTCGTCTACGTAGACGAGGATGTAGAACGGAGTCGAGCCAGCACGAACGAAGAGCGAGGGGTCTGCAGAGGACGGAACGAACTGCAGGTCAGCAAGCGTAGCACGCAGCGTGTCGTGCCACTCACGAGGCGCCTGGCGCAGGCCGTAGACTGGGCGCCGCAGAAGCCACTGGGTCCCAGGGGGGAAGGTGCCAGTAAAGCCCTGAGGACGACGTAGGTAGACCTGCTCGTGAAGGCTGCCCTGAAGAAAGGCAGTGGAGAAGTCGAGGGAGTGAAGCTCGTAGTCACGCTGGGCCGCTACGTGTAGCAGAACCCGAAGAGTAGTCATCTTCGGGGTAGGAGCGAAAGTCTGAAAGAAGTCCACCCCCTCGCGCTGACTGAAGCCTCTAGCCACGTAACGCGCCTTGAACACAGGCGGCTCTCCAGGAGGGCGCTTCACCTTGAAGAGCCAACGGCCATCGACCACGTTCACCCCAGGTGGGGGAACTGCGTCGACGAAGGTGCCGGTGGATCTCCAAGATGCCATCTCCTGCTCCATGGCAGCTATCCACTGAGAGGCCTAAGGTCCCGAAACCGCCTCAGCGTAAGTACGAGGGGTCGGGATGTCAAAAGCGTCTGGGTCACCCTCAGGGACTAGCAGCATGGAACAGAGATGGGGAGCAGCCTCGGACAGGAAAGCAAACTCAAACTGGCGGTCCTCCAGGACGTCACTGCCGAGGGCAGGAGCACCCCCGACAGACGGAGGACAGGCAGGGTCAGAGACCAGAGCGGAGGCGTAGTCAAGGCGGCGGGTAGAGGCGAAGGCAGCGACCGCAGTGACAAGGGCGTCAAGACTCGACACTGGAACAGACGGGTCGGTAACGAGAGAGGCAAGGACCCGAGGAACAAGAGGACGAGCGGCACGAAAGTAGTCAGACAGAGGAGGAGACGCAACGACAAGAGAGGACGGAGGAGGAGACGGGAGGAGGGGAGGACGAGACGCGTGGGAGCGCAGCAACATAGGGTGAGTGCGCGGGACGGGGGAGACAGGACGAGCACGGGAGGGGCGGCGAGACCAGACGTGAGAGGGCGGCGTCGGGTCAGGAGACAGAGGAGGGGACACGGGTGGGGAACGAGGGGGAAAACGAGCCGGGGACAAGTCCGGCGGAGGGAACACGGGGCCGTAGACGGGAAGAGGGGGAGACGGCCGGAGAGGAACAGGCGCAGGGTCAGGGGACGGAAGGCCGAGCAAACGGAGGGCGGACACCGGCGGGGACTGCTGCTGCGTCGACACAACACCAACGCCAGGGCCACAAGCTGCGCGACGGCTACCTCCCGAACCCTCCACACCGGCACCCCCAGAAGGGACACCCCCAGAGCCCGAGACACCGCCAGCACCGGTACCACCCCCAGGCCCGCGGGGACAAGCCACGACAGGAGCCCCGGGACGAGTACCCACCTCAACTCCAGCACCCCCAGAGTCCACAAACAGCGGCAGCGACGACGGCGGCGGCGGCGGCGGCGGCTGCAGCAGCTGCGGCGACGGCAGCTGCGGAGGCGGTGGAGGAGGAGACACCGGGGGAGGGACAGACGGCGAGGACTGCGCCAAAGGACTACCAGAGTCAGAAGACTCGTCGACCGGAACGACCGACGGGAGGGGGGTGACGTGAGACACACCAGAGGGGGCCGGACGGGGGGGCGGGGGGGGGGAGGGGCAGGGGCCACCAGGGAGGGAGGAACCAGGAACAGGGGGGGAGTAACCGGGGGACCACGGTGGGGAAAGCGGCGGTAGAAGGAGACGGACTCGTCAAAGGTGACGTCGCGAGAGTGAAAGAAACGGTGAGACGGCGGGTGGTAGAAGTGCCAGTCGGACGCGTCAAGGGGGAAACCAAGGAAGACGCAGGGGAGGGTGCGGGCAGTGAGCTTGTCCGTGCCAGAGGCACGAACGTGAGCAAGGCAGCCCCAGACGTGGAACGCAGACGCGTCACCAGGGGACCCGGTCCACAGAAGGGTCGGCGAAACCTGCGGCCGCTGGGGGTGCGGCCACAGGTTAAGCTGGTGAGCGGCGTAGCGCACGGCGAACGGCCACAGAAAATGGGGTGCACCGGCGTGGATCATGGAGGTGCGAGCCACCTCCATGACCAAACCGATGCGTCGCTCAGCGACCCCATTCTGCTGCGGGGAGTCCGGCAGGGTAAACGTCTGGGTGATGCCCTCCGCACGACAGAAGCGACCAAGGACACCTGAGGCGAACTCGCCACCCCGGTCGGAGTGGAGGCGCAAGGCAGGGAGACCGCGGTGGAGACGAGCAGAGACAAGCCAGGGGATGAGAACGTCAGGCACGTCGGCCTTCCGCTCCAGGGGAAAGACGGTGGTGTAACGTGTGAAGTCGTCGACAAGCACTAGGAAGAAGCGCTCGCGACGCGGCCCATGGACCGGGGCTGGGCCCCAGACGTCCATGTGCAGAGTCTGCAGGGGTGCGGTGGTAGGGGGAAACGAGGAGGAGTGAGGGGCACGGCGGAGCCGG